TACAACACTCCACAGGCCCAAAGCCACAAAAGTCATGGAGGAGCATTCCAGAGTAAGAACTAGGGTTCAGGGCTATATTTTTGCATACATGCCCACCCAGCACAACAGTGGCTATTAGCACAGTAAATTATTCATGCTCTGAGCAGAAAATCTGCACCTTGGGGAGGTGGGGAAGATATAGATATATCTCAATAAGCCCAATTATTCGATTAATCTTCCTTCATTGGCAAAGAGCTGAGAAATACCCTTCCCTCCTCTTCAACAATTAAAACCAGAGGGAATTTCTGAAAGGAAAAAGGGAGGAAATCCACAAATTTCAAACACTGAGCAAAGAATTAGATTGGCTTCTCAATTAGTCAATCAGCAATATTATTTAACTTAACATGGCACCCATACAGATCATGTGTGTCACCCAAACACCAGAATCCATTTAATCATTAGTATGAAGAGAAAACTAGCACAGACTCAGCTGAAACAGTAAATCAAACTTCCAATTTTTTTCCCCTCTCTTCAAGCTGATAAAACGTACACGATGGATGGTTACTATCTACAGGTCTCTGCACTTCATCCTACATCTCATCTTCCTGTATCCTCTCTGCTTCTCATCTTATCCTCTCTGCTTATTTGCCACTTTGTCTCATTCTCAGCTCTTAGTTACTATCTCCTTTCAGGAAAACCCCTACACAAGGGGCAACTTCTGGCTTCCAGCTCCCCCAACTAACTACCCTCCTTCAAACCCACTTCAGTGAAGCTTGCCAGCAGTCATCTCTTCAACAAACAATGCCTCATTACTTTTGCATTTCAGCTGTTGCCCCCTACATTGTTTGTCTCAAATAAAGACTAGTACACTCGCTTTCTACATATTATGAGAACTATGGACTGAACAGTTTATTGTGCTCTCATTCAGCAGCCATGATTAACACATGTTTTGCTGCCAAATGGAGTATTTAAACATTACTGTGGGCGAAAATAGCTCATTTCTAAGGCTAGAAATTGAAGAATCCTTCTTCTACCACTCCCACCTCCACCCCAAAACAGATTCAAAATGGCTGTCACACTCCGATTATATGACAGAAGATGCCCACACCAATCTAGTGGTAAATATATCTAACAAGAAAAACTGTCATTCCCAACTCTAAGTGTATGAATTTCAAGTCCAGATGAACATATAGGAAATTTAAAAACCCAATGTCATAACAAAAAGAAACACCACTTAGAGTTAAAAGCTTATTTCCAGCCAAGCACCAGAAGGATCTTTAATAATGTGTTATATCTCATTCTTAAAAACATTCTAGAGTCAGCTGAACTGATCTGAATTTTTTTTTTAAATTATGACCTAAACGGGACTGTCATCCCAACCAGAATTGAGAAGAACCAAAGAAACGAATGGAAAGTAACTTCATTTTGTGCATCTCATTAACAATTATTTCCAAGAGACGTGCACAACAGACATCATGATAGCTGCAAGTTCTGTTCACAGCTACTTTCTGAGTTACCATTCTTTATTACAAACCAGCATGCTTGGCTGATCCTTCCCTACTTCTTTGAATGTATCATGTTTGTCAGTCAATCACCAAACACCACTTGCTTTTCACCTACTTTCCACTGACAGCACAGACGCTGTATTTACTTCGTCAAAGGCCTCAAGAATAATTAACTGAGGTACTCACCTACCTGCTGTCTTCATGTCTGCTGTGAAGTTATTTACCGTATATTGCCAGTCAGTACCTGCACAATTCACTGATAAAAAAAAACTGTTCAAGAAGCCACAATATTCTCTATTAAGAAACAAGTCATCTAATGCATCACATTCACCATAATAGAAGCCATTTTGCAATATTTACACAGTATATTAGAAATCTAGCCTCCTACAAAAAAGTTATATTTCCTGGATGAATGTAAGAGGCTGGAGGAGAATCCAATGCCAGAAATCACAAGTCTGGAATCTGCACCATTGCTTCTGGCAATCGAATGTCACCTGGTCAAACAGCAGTGCATAATCCTCTCAGAGGATAAAGCAGAAAATAGCTGCAAGCATCATTATGTTTAATAGATATTTTTCTCTTAATGCTATTTTTCACTGACTAGTTTTATCATAGTGATGTTAAATAAGATGTGATTGCAAGTAATTTAGTTTTAAAAAACAAAGCTTCCTATTGTAATGCATCAATTAAGTTGTCTTACTTTTATTGCTAGATTGAGAGACATCTTTTATCACCCTTTTTGGCCATGTAACTCTTAAGGCATCTTGTCTACTGTGTGAGGATGATCCCTTAGCAAGCTACACCTTGCGTTGCTTCCATTGACATCAATAAAAATAGGACTGGGCCATAAATGAACATATACTACCATTTGTTTCATTCACAATATAAACTGAATTAACAGTTTTCTCTTATCAGATCTCTTTCTTGTTTTCTCCCCATCCTATAATCTTTAATGCACACCAAATGCTAAAAATCTATAAATTTGCAAGCATTCAAGTAGTTAACTGTCTAGCAGATGGTAACCACCATTCCGGTTATATCAGCCATTTCTATATGAGATATGGGATGTTTCCTTTTCTGATACAATAACCTCTCAATGGTCAAAATGCAAAGTTCAAGAACTGTTGTTTAGATTTGTATACAAAAGAAAGGAGGACTATCCCAAATGAAAGCACCCTGCTATAAATTACAAGACAGAAATAAAATTAAACTGCCAGCAGAACACAAAACTCCCCTGATCTTTATTATGACCCCTTGACAGGATGCAATACCATTCCAGTCTTCTGTGGACTGACTGATTTTCTCCCATCAAGCTAAATCTCAATAAAGAAACTTTCTGTATCTTAGCATTCCTTCCTCATTTCCCCAAAAATGGCTTTTAAGGAGACCAAATCAGGCTTTACATTTTCTAATAAAATCACTATTATTAAAATCAGAAAATTCCTCACTATACTACAGCATTGTCAGTTCTTCAAGCAAATGAAATTTGTTTAAGTAGGATGAAAAGATTTCACTGTTGAAAACTACTTCAGCCAAAGCCCATGACATCCCCACCAAACGCACATCACTTAAGGCTATGAACTTTCACAAACTTGTTTTTGGTCTTATGCTATAACCAATGATACACCAGGTTTTCAGAGTACAGTAATCATACCTCAAGTGTTGATTGTATGTGAATTTGTATTTCTATCGTGGCTCAAACAGTAATAAACAAGGGGACCTTATTCTTTTGCTTCTCTTGTTAAAATAAACTAATGCCAGAAGTGACTAGGAGAAGCCATTTTCCTTCTCAACGTAAGCCTTAATTTCCACCATTGCAAGCAGCCAACTGTCCTCACAGTTTTAGCGATTACAGTTTCATTCCATCCACTGCAGGATTAAGCCTTTTGAATGGTATCACAAAGTGTCACTATCCTAGATCGAAGGTGAGCAAGGAGATAAATGGGCAGATTTTAGGGTAACATACTTACCTCATAGTCCATTTGAGGTCTACTATCTATTTTCTCCCTCTTCCCTAAGAGGATTTCCCTCCTAGCGAGGATACTATTCAAGAGTATTGCGAGGGGTTCCCCCCCCCAAATGCATTGGCAACTTCAGTGCACTTTGTTCCTGTGCAAATCTTCTTTAAGATTACATTACAAACGAGTGCTGCTTAAATATTTCAGGAATAAACTAAATGTTTGAAAGGAATTACTCTTCAAAATCTACAAAACACAAAGAACAAAGTCTTTGTCCAGGTCCATTACTTTGGTAAATCCAAGAACAGAAGAGTAATCCTGTTGTTTAAGCATTAAAAACACATGTACATGAGGAACATTAGAAGTGTTTTGAGAAGCAGCAGCAGTTTCTGTACAATCCCATTAACAAATTTGTGTTTCATGTTCACAGTTTGTTTTGGTTTAGAGGACATCCTTCTCAGTGAAAGTAAGTAGAATGTTAGATAATAAGAGTCATTAGTATTTACAATGCACAGACTGTTCTTCAATGCCTGTTTTGCTCCGCTATCTCTTGCGTATCTGAGATCATAATCAGTCCTTCAGAGTTTACAGTGAAACAGGATATCATCTATAATAAATTAAAAACAGTAGCTAACACTTATTAGAAGAACAAGATTCTACAGTCTTGCTTTCAACTGAAAATTTTTAGAAGTAGGCTTAGGGTCTGCTCCAATTGAAGCCCATGGAAATAAGACCATTACCACATTTGGAGGGAAAAAACCTGCTTATGCCAAAGCAAAGTGTGGAATTCCAAATTTGGAAAGTGTAACCTTTATACAACAGCCCAGTAAAACTTAAGGATGAAGTCAATGGGTTCTATTCAAAACTGCTGTAAAATTCAATGCAGGTTAAAGAAAAACGTCTCCTTTCAATAGGTTTTTTGCACAATCCTATGGAATTCTTTATTTTGAATTAAATTTTAGAGGCCTTCTCCATAAGAAGAGTTTTGTTTTAAGAGTTAAAAAAATATATATATTGATGCCTAGATTGTATTAATTCATTTTAACACACCATCTGGGAAGACAATATCCCAGAACTTTGAAGATCACAACTGTAAACATGCAAGGAAGATGGGGTAAAGGAGAGCACACTTACTTGTAACTTTGCTACTGGTGAAGCACTGTTGGACTCATTCTCCATTTTTTGCCCCACAGAAAAATGTTGTTTTGCTTGTTTTCCAGCAAAGAGCAAATAAAAACAATGCAAACTTTGCATTGTGTATTATTTGGATTGATGCTAAAAGCTTTTGATAGACTTGCCTGTTCATTATTCCTCCACACATACCAAACGTGTTAAATAGAAGATAAATGTCTATAAAAACAGTACCACTATTTTAAAATAGCAATATATGATTTGATAACAATTAAGACAATTTGATATACTTTTTTTATCCTTATCCAAATAGAAAGGACATGCATATAGCAACTGAAAATATGAAAAGGTGGGAAATATTTCACTTTTGGCAGCACAGCCTAATTCTGCTCATACTGCACTTGAGAAACCAAACATTGTCACATACCTTAACAAGTTGAAACTGAGGTCTAGCCTTTTTGCAATACCTCCATATTTTCTTCCTAGAAATTCTGGAATTTCTTTGCAATCTTGACTAATGTAGGACACCTGCAAATTAAAAAGAGGAACTATTTAATAAATGAACAATTTATAGTTTCTCATACTGCTTCTTCTCATTGATCTAATGACATGGCAAATAAAACAACAACAGTCACTACTACCTTCCAAGCTACATCAGCTTCAATGCTATGGACTCCACCCAGAGTCTCACTTTTCTTCCACTATGATCAGCTTAACAGTTATTAATTCATAGCCGAATGTAAATTGGGTTGGGATTTCCTACCTTGGGGAAATCCATGTTTGCTGGCATGTTAGTAATTTAATTTAGAATATAATATTTCCCATTAATACTGGTCAAAAGTGAATAAGGATTTTTGGGTGCCCAATTTGAGGCACCTTAGATGGAACTGATTTTCAGAAGGCTCAACACTTTCTAAACCCTTTGATGCATCTCAGGTCAGGCACCCAAAATGTGATGAACCAAAATCATTGTTACTTCTGAAAATTTAGGCCAGAATTTCAAAGCACGGTACAGTCAGTCAGTCCTCACAACATCCCTGAGGCAGATATTATCCCCATTTGTATAACTGTGAAACATCAGAAAGGCCAAGTAAATTGCCAATTACTAGCAACGAAGCTAACATCATAGCAAATCAGCTCCAAAACTAAGCTAAACCCTCAGAAGTTCCTGGTTCACAGTCCTGTGCTCAGACAATACCGCGCCCTTGTTTATAATATTTTTTTAGGGAAACTGTTGGTAGCAAAGTACGTAGGCTACTAGGATTTGTCTCTGAGCCAGGATGAAGTGGCCAATGATACCTCCCCAATATCCCCACACAGTAGGATGGCAATGTTTATATATCCTGCTACACTCCAAAAATTGTGGTTGAAGTCTTAGTGGGGAGTCTTGGAAGGAATGAGACCTAAAACAAAGAGCAGGAATGCCAGACATTAGCTATAATGAATTCTAGATCTAGGCTGGATCATCTCTCCAGTAAGCCACTTACACTGAGGAAATGGCAACCCTGTCTAGCTACTAAAAATCAATAGAATTATGAAAAAAATAAAAGCTGACATTTGTAAGTTTTGCACTGCAGGAATCCTGCCTTTTATGACAACTTGCTGCTTAGTTGGGTCTCACAATATTTAATTCTAAGCAATTGAAATGCTAAGTTAGAGTCCCCTTTACAGTTGGTCTACAAAATGTCCAACCATTAAAATTCCAGATAAGGAACAAATTAACAACAAAAGTAATTCATGTTCTGTTTTGATAATATTTCATGTTCTCTGAAATATAATCAACCCTACGGGACAACTTGCCAATGTATTCTTCACCTTTACAAATCATCCCTGTGTTTCATCCAGTCTTAAAACGCCTGCAATCTGATAATACAATATTGCATCCCCTTTAATTCATTCTTATTCAGTAACTTCAACTGAGAAAGATAGCTGACTACAGTGAAGTAATTTTTTACTTTGAATACATGAGCTGAACAATAGAGACCTCAAAGTTCAGCCTAGCAATTTCTTCCCTCTTCTTCATGACATCTTTCATCATGGCTCTTGCAATAAATTCTAGTACCAAGACACAGACTTGCCTTTTAGAACTACAAGGAGGAAGAAGAAAAGGGATTTCTTGGATAGCTGACATCCTAATAACTTGGAAATATTGGAAGCCCTCTTTTAAAAAAAACAAACAAACAAACAAAAAAAACACACAATAAATATCATCTTACATGCATACGTCTTACTTGTATAATGCCTTTCATCCCAAAGGACCATAAAGCACTTTACAAGATACATGCACATGCACAGACATCTATTTTAATAAATAGATGATTCAGTCAATCCACCACTGAAACGCAGCCACCTCTGAGGTGAAATGTACACTACGATTTTGCCCCCCAAGATCACAAAAGAGATCGGGACAGCAAGTGAAGGATAATTTCAGTAGTAGAAATAAAAGGGGAATTTGGTGGTCTCAAGTCTAGGGGACACAGTAAAAGACTGGGAGTCAGAAGATATCTATTTTAATCCCAGCTCTGGCATCAATTCACTGTGTGGCCTCAGTCAAATCACTAAAGGCCTAATTTGCTCAACCCATCTGAAGATTCGACTCTTGACCTCTCTCTGACCACGCCGAGTGCATGCTCCCAAAGCGTGGTGACATTTCCATATTCTTTAGCCTCTGTATTGGTGGAGCCTACGTATTGGTAACCAGATGGGTTCCTAAAATTAATGGGAATACATGTCATTTAGACTCTGCCCTTCCTCTCCCTGTCATTTTTTGCAGGGGGGGAGCAAGATACCTCAAGAATGATGAACTCCTGAGCACTTGTACTTCCTTCACGATCATCTGGCATTCTTTCTAAAACAGAAGGGATCTTAAACTTCGGTCTCCTAGTCAAATCCAGTTTGGGTAAAGACAACACATTCTGCTCAAATTATGCTAATGCAAAGTATTATACTATTAACACAGTGTTTTACCAAGGATTTAAGAACATTAATTAAAGCCTCTCAGCACCTTTATAAGGTATTATCTCCATGAAACTTTGGTTCACAGACCTGTAGAAAACTTTCAATTTTTGCTTTATAAGAAGTTATTCACAAATCTGATTGCAGGTAAAATTTCTTACATTTCCACCAGCTTCTCAGGGCAAGGGTGAAATTCCATACCCGAGACAGAAAAGTGAATTCCTGACCATTCACCGTATTCACAGTGGAAGCAGCTTCTTGCATTAAATTTTTTTTTTTTTAATTTAAAACTTACTTTTTCAGTGAGGAATTCCCCCCCCCCCCCAACTTAATTTTAGTTGGGTATCAGTGTCTGCCCAACCTGAGTGCCACACATTGCAGTAGGACTCAACATCAGGGGAAGAATGCTTCCTGAAAAGACTTTTCAAACCACTCGAAAGGCAGTATTGACATTCACTATAAGAATCCAGATTATAATAGTACTACTATAGATTAAACTTCTTATGGAGAAAGGCAACACCGTGATAATAGGATCCTCATCCATCACTAGAACTCCCAGGTGCTATGGTAATGCCAGTAATGTATTAATAAGATTTCTCCAAAATTGTTTTTACTTCCAGCTCAAAACAATTTACCAGGAATCAATACAAGCTATTGTCCCTGCCATGTCCCTGCCATATCCCCCCCTCCGCTGCCCCACTTCCTTCATAGCAAGGATCAGCCTTCAAGTACTGGTCCCTCAACATTCCCATTGCTCATAGATACTGAAATGAATGGTGGCTGTCCAGCCCACTGCAATACCTAGGTAGAGTGGAGCACCATAATGACCAAGTCTCATTCCTTTGCTCTTTTGGATATAAGGCTGCTTTTTATTGTCAATAAAACTGCTCCCCAGATATCCTATAAACCAACAAGGTTGAGGGGACTGGAAAATGCTGAGGATCAGTAATTGAGTCCAGAACCTTCCATATCTAGTTTTCTAGTTCAAATCCAAATCAGGGTTGGTAGTAACCAAAAGTTGTTGCTATCTGACAGCTGTTTGGTGCCCTATATGGGGTAACCAACCTGGACCAAGTTTAGAAAGTTTATAATAAAACCCCAAATAAGGAGGGTTGTGTGATATTTCAGGTTTTATTGTGAATGTTTCACACCATTATAGTTATTGATAAGTTAGGGAAGAATTTGGGGTTTTTTAAACACACATTTTAAATTGACATTGTCACCTTCACTAGCTTCACTTGCCCCTCTTTCCTCACATAGTTTCTGTACTGGAGAGCATAACGCAAGTTACCTTTATTGTGACCATTTTACAATGACATTGCATTGTGAGCAGTGTGGTTACACTCAATACAGTGTCATTAATTCAATGAAGAATGTTTCCAAATAGTATATATCATCTTTAAATTTTATGAAAAATCCTGATGCACTGATGCACTCTCACTGCCACAGAAATATACATCTGGAGAGTGTTACTAGTCAGTTAAGCATTATCCTGCATACTGCTAGAAGCTCATGTGTTCTCCTGTTAATTGAGAATTGTGAAGAGAGAATCAGATATTAAAAATACATTGTAGCAAATATTCATATGTGATGTCTGAAAGAGAGTCATGTTTTGAAACAAACTTCATACCACTCAGAACACATTCAAATTACGAAAATATTTAGTTTAGTAGGGATATGATCAGCCTCTAGGGAAGGAAGAATCATCCATTCCATGCCACAGCACACCACAATGACCACAGAAGCAGTTTCTTACAACGGCTGCAAAGTTAGCCAATTGCCTGCATAATCACCATTTCTAGAAGCAATACATGGAATTCACTTAACTAAAATATCTGTAAAAGGAATGATCCTATTAGAGAAATGTTTAGCTGTAAAGCACTCTTGGTACAATGATGTAGTATTTTCATATAAAAGGTGTTTTGTTTTTTAAAAGGTCAGACCAAAAAACAGGGCACACACTAATTCTTAAGTGGGAAATTTAAAGCCAAAGGAGTGAGTTTGGTGCCTGACTCCCACAGAAAAGCAATGGAAGTTGGGTTCCTTACTCCCCTTTGAAAGTCTCCCCATAAGCAAATGACATTATAATATGAAGAACATGTGTTTCTCTGCTAAAAGTAAGCACAGTGAACACATTTTATTCCCCTCCCCCCTCATATTTTCATTTATTTTTTAAAGAAATCAGTGATTTTGGAACAGGTGAAAACCTTTAGAAAGGGGAGTCCTCTAATCATCCATAAAAAATTATACAGATCAATAATAATATAAGCTTTCTCCCTCCATGCACACAGCCCTTGCGGTAGGATTTATCTTCTTTGTACACCTCGTCCTCGAAAAGGTCAAAGGACTATGCACTCTCCGTGGCTTATTCAAACTTAGCTGACAGTCTGGGTCCTATTAGTGACAAGGGTGATAGTGGTTTCTCTCAACAGGTGTAAATTGTCACTGAAGCTAATGGAGAAGATGACAATTTACACCAGCTGAAGATCTCAAAAGATGCCCTCACAAGCTAAAGACAGTGAAGCACTACCAATGTGGGTGAAATTGAACCCATGACCTATTTATTTATAGGCTTTTCTATTACCTGAAAAGCTCCATAAACTCATTCCCAACTCTTGAGCTCTCCAGACAATAGATCATTACAGCGCCTGACACAAGCCACAGAAAGGGAAACTTCTATTTCAGGTAAAATGACAAGTATCAGGGGTTTTACAGAGATACAAAAGGCGATAAAAAGTTATTTCCTTTTCAAATCTTGTATGCACTATGGATACATATTGTATATCTATGTACGGACAGACTGTGGGAATGCCTCAGCAAAACATACAGCTGCACTGAAGTGGTTAACAATTATACTTAACTCCACAGGTGTGGTCAGTAAACTGTCTTTAGAAGCAATAATTCACTGTATTAATTTCACAACAGCTGCATGTGATGTGATTTATTTATTTTATTTATTTTTACAAACAACTTTCTCCTACCATTGCGTGAGCAACATCGGATCTGAAACACATTCTAAGTGCTCCTCATGGAAACACATTTAAAAACATATCCATTGTAAATACAACAATTAAAGAAACAATGCACTACCAGTTGGGGGGGGAGGTGGGAGAGAATCTGGAGTTTGTACCATTAGTAGATTATGGGTCTTTCATGTAAGAGAAACATACTAATAACAACCTCTCAGGAGTAAAAGCATTTTGTATTTACACCTGGACAGACAATTATGTTCATAAGAGTTTATTTAAAGTAAGTGATACATTTTATTAGAGTATAAAGTGAAGGTAAACTTCATGAGTCTAACCCCAGCAAAAGCAAGTGACTAAAGCAATTTTTCAGTGCAATTTTTTTCCCCCTCCAGTAACTTAACCTGCATGAACACTGAACAAGTAAAAACTAAACTCCAGAGGTTTGATTCACCTTTAACCTCTCTAGAATAGCTTCTCCCAGCCCCCACATGCCCTTTGCACCATTAATTGCAAGTAAGAAAGGATAGGGTTGGTTTTTTGTTTGGTTGGTTGGTGGGGTTTTTTTTTTTTTTTTAAAGTTACTGAAAAATAGCCAGGCAGGCCTGGTACCACCACCAGACAGGCTCTCCACGTTAAAGGAAAGACAAGGTGTGGAAGAGGGGCAATTCTCTGCGCAACGAGAGGCAGCATAAATAAATAAATAAATCGGGCTCTTTCCGGGGGGGGGGGGGGGATAACAAGTAAAAACAACCACAAGCACGGGGCTATCTCCAACTACAAATAAAACTTGCCCTGAAGAGACGGACCAGACACACGCACGCTGTAGAAGAGAAAGGAAAGTCCCGCCAAAAGTGCTACTGCTGGATTTGCAAACAGCTGGACACAGACACTTACTTGAGCTCCATTTCCCACGACCCCTGCCATCTCTGCACACTACACACGGCCTGGGCTATGCCCCCTCAGCTGCAACCCTCTTGGGACAAGGGGAAATGTAGCTAGCTGCAGGGTTTGGGTTCAATCGGGGGGGGCTCTGCTTTTGGGGGGGGCGGGGGTCAGTCACTCAGCGTTTCTCTCTCTGCCTCTATTAAGGGCTCAGCAGCTGCAGCTGCTACTTCCTCACTCGTCAGCTGATCCTGAGCGGAAGCATGGCTCGGCTCTGCTAATACAGCTGCCTGCTCCACTTGCGAACCGGCGCTGCAATGCAAAGCCCGGCTCTGTTCACAGGGTCTGCCCGCGACCTGCTGGTAGGTTCGCCCCGACAGAACCTCTCTACTGGGAGGTGGAGCCGGGGGTAGTAGGGCTGCCCCTCCCCCCAGGCCTGGGCTGAGCTGAGGGAGATGGGGGCTTCCCACACAGAGCCCCCGGCGGGGGGTATAGGGGCTTCCTTTGGGTTGCCACCTTCAAAATGCAGAAGAACCCAGCCACTCTCCCCTACTGCCAAAAATCAGCTACGAGCCACCCCCCCCCCACCACCACCACCACCAACAACAGGGGTCCCAGCATCCCAGGGCTAGCTACTTGTTAGCAAAAATGTTTTAAATAACTGCTTTACACACACAAAAACCATCCCCAGGACTGGTCTGAGAAAGAAGTACTGTAACTGACTGCTTAAGTCCTTGCTGTCCAGCATTGGTTTGTTCTCCCACTGTGGTAGCAGAGACAATGGACAGTTGTCATAGATTCAAATTCCTTCCCCTACCTCCTTCACCAGCAGAAGTGGGATCTCCCAGCCAATTCAGTAATTTGGGGCCCCAAAACATCAAGATGGTTTTGAAAGTCAATGAAAAATCCCACTATATTTTACAGTAAAATCCTATGCCACTGTAGTGATGTTAGTCATAGATAGAGTTTGGAACTAGTTCTTGGAGAACACTTGTTTGTTTGCATTCAATAAGATCCTACCAGAAATACATTTAGAATTCTCTCGTAAAGGCATGGCAAATTTGTAGGAATGTGTTGCTCCCTAATCACAAGCCTTGAAGAACGGCAAACTGTTCCCTTGGCAATGAGGCAGGAGTGACCTTGTTCTGGGTCTATGTTTGGAAAACTTATTGGCTAACCTGACATCATCTTTGCAGCTGGTGTTCACGCGCTCAAGAGATGGGTTTGTAATCTTATGCTCATGTATACTGCCTGCCTTCTGAATGGGCAAGAATGTAACCACTCAGATAAGTTGTAAACAAAGTAAGGAGAAGAATAAAAACCCCAGGAAAAGTTTTCCTGGGAGGCTTTTTTGCAGGAGGCTTGAAAAGTTCTCTGGCTACCAACAAACCTGGTGTTCTGTTTCCTTTCCTGCGTTGTCACCACACAAATTAGTCCTTACAGAAACCGACCCACGAAAATCTGGGCTACCGCTATAGATGGGTGGCATCGCTAAAAATGGGTTGGATGGAATAGGGCTATTGAAGGCTTCCTGTAAGGATCTCAAACCAGATTTTTGAAGGCAATTAGGTACCTAAAGATGCAGACCTAAAGATTCCTATTGGGAATTTTAAAAGTGCATAGGCAACTAATGCCCATAGACACATAAGTACTTTTGCAATACCACTCAGCACCTATCTAATCTTTAGGTGCCTAAATACCTTTAAAAACCTACTCCCTTCTCTCTATTGATAATCTATAGTTCAGAGTGTGACAGCTATAGCAAGTTCCTGCCATATCCTTTGAAAAACCTTATTGAAATAAGTTTAAGTTTCTTTGGAGTCCGCTGTATTAAATGACAAGTTTATGTATTATTGTAGGCCAGGAATGTATGTAACCTTTCTAGGAAGGAGATATGACAGATGTGAGGCCTGGGAGTTAACAGGACTATATTGAAAATGTGCCAGAGAAGAATGGACTTTGGGGACAACAAATCTTAAATGAATTTCCTGGGGAATCCCTAGGGAGAGGTTAAGGAAAAGTCCCCACTTCTAGTTATGCAAAAACCTAGCCAGTTGAAGCTATGCCCTGAGGAGAAAGTGACTGTCTGCTGGTAACCTGTTCCTGGAGATCAAAAGTCCAAGCTATATGAAGAAACAGCTAAATTGCCCAGACTGTGTCCTGGTATGAACTTGTATCCAGAAGGAAAACCCAACTGTGGATTTGAAGGACTGACACCTACCCAAGCCCAAGGATGGAGTTGGGGTGGTCTCTAGAAAGGTTGTTAGCATGCATGTAAGTTATTTTATTGTTTGTAATATGCTTACTGTGTAATGCTTTCACCTTAAGAATAAATGAAGTTGCTTAGAAAGAGCAGTGTGGTAATTTGTAACTCCTGGCAATTGCGCTGTTCATAGGCTTCAAAGAGAAAGCAAAGAGCAGTCTTGGGCTGTTTACGCAGTCTGGCTTGCTGGAGGTGTAGGCAGAGAACTATGCAGCCTTAAAGATTCCCCAGTCATTTGAAGGAGTGAGGCACAGGTCTTTGCTCAAGAGGAGTGATGGCTGGGAGGCAGAAGCCTGAAAGTGACCACAGATGGGGAGCCCAGGTGCAGTTGCCCTGAAACTGTGATACAGATAATTTCTGCAGAAATCATGGGAAGTTTCAGAGAGGATATAAGTTTTGTGTGCGCCCCTTGAGGTGGATATACAGCACTCTGAAAAACTGTCTTTGTAGTTCATTCAATGAAACAGTGAAAACTAATAATGTACTTGCTGCTCTGTCTCTTAACCCTATCAGGAAGTATAGTAGATACAGCTGTGGCATCGTTTCTTCACTACAGTCTTATTCTCTCCTTTTCCTCTGGCTATTCTGGAGGGAACTGAGAACAAATAGGTTAAGGACAATTTAAACACTTTTATTTATCTTTTTTATTTTTCCCAGTGCATTTGTATTTAACATGTTAAGAACAAGAATATACATAACTAATCAACAAATCACTTCTGGCCTGCTTTTCCATTGCCTTGCCCTTTGTGTAATTTGCCCTAAGTGCTTAGTGGCTGCCAAACACTGCCAAATCAGGAACCACTGATGGAAAGCAGCCCCCCAAGCCAGTACTTAAGCACACACCCAACCAGTACCCAATTAAAGAATTTAGGGGCCCCACAAAACTATGGCAATTTCTCCCTCCTGCTTCCATACTCCCTGTCCCCAAGGATGGGAAGCCCTGTGGAAGAGCAGGTCCTGCCCCTGGCAAATCCCAGGGGGTGAGGATAGGGAGCCCACCCCACAGTGGCTCTTGTCCCACGAGGCTGGTTCAGCTCCCCTTTCTGGGCTGTTGACTCTGGCCCACTGTGCATTATGCCCCAGCCCATCCCTACCCTGGCCCTGGCCAGGTGTATCTCCCCTCAGTGGCTGGAGCCCCCCTGAGATGGGGTCCCTGTGCAAGTGCAATTTGGTTGATCCAAGCCTATGAGTAACTTTAACCACATGAGTAGTCCATTTGAAGTCATGCTTAAAATTAGGCACATGCTTAAGTACCTTGCTAACTGGAGTCTTAATTTATTCTCCCAGTGTGGAGAGAATCCCCTCAATGGCATAGGGTAGCTCTATACCACCCACTCTTGCCCCACCAGCATAGAGGTCAGATCAGGGATATGCCTGAGGATGAGAGAGAATGACTAGAGCCCAAAAGCTCTCCAGTGAATCAGCTGGAACAATCCTTTAGGAGCCAGCGCAAGAGGCCAGAAGTTAAAGGAGCCCTCAGACTTCTCTAATTTTCACCAGGGGCCAAACCGGCCCCCAAAAAGCAATCTGATCAGGTAATTTAAAGTCTCCCCCTCAGGTCCTTCACTAGTCAAGTATGATTAAATAAAATGATAACATTTAACTACCCTTCTCAGTCACTTTCATCATCATGTTCCTATTACACCTCTGGTGTTTAGGGCAGTGACAAAGCTCCTCCACTCCTGTCAGTTTCTGGCAAGTCTTTCAATGGTTCCCCAGCTGTGCCCCAAGTTTTTCAGCTCGGCTTCCACAGCTCTTCACCATGTTGTTTTTGAGTGGCCTCGTTTTCACTTGCCTTCAGGTGTCCATCTTATTGCTATTCTGGTGATGGAATCAGTTTCCCTCTGAAGCACATGACCGATCCATCTCTAATGCCTCCTGGCAATGATGGTGCTCAGATCCTCTTGGATGCACTGTGTCAATAGATCTTGGTTTGAGATTGTTCTGGGCCAAAAGATACAGAGGATTTTTCTGAGGCAGATTGTATGGAATGAAGACAGTTTGGATATGTCATACTTTCTCATTTCCCAGAATTCGGCACTATAAAGTAGTGTTGAAAGTATTCAGGGCTGATAAATCTTGAGTTTGATTTTGATGTTGTTTTTTGATGATTTCCAGACTGTATTTAAGCTCCTGAAGGTGTTCCTGGCTTTATTGATTTTGTTCCAGATGTCCTGGCTGATGGTGTTGCCCAAGTATGTGATGTTTCTACAGTGCAGTCACTTTGCACAGGTGTAATTGATTCTCTATTGCTTTGTATCTTGTGTAGTTAGGCCCTTCAGTTATGGTGAATAAACACTTCTAGATACAGTATTTTTATCTATCTATCTATCTATCACGCACTAAGAGAATTTCTGCATCAAGGCCTATTTGCTAGTTCAATCAACCACTCAGCATGCTTTTGACAAACTGTACATGTATTTATTTTTGGATTATACAAAGTCAGCAAATTACATATGACAAGAACAACACATTCTATCAGGATTATTGTGAAAACAGAGCAAATAGCCTACTTTCTACCCTCCCTTTATCTCCCACCTCTTTTTACCTCTTTCTTTACACTGATGAAATGGAGAGCAAAATGTGGCCATTATCAATTTTATTTGTAGAGTACCATAGGCCATTTGGTATATGTAGACAAAATCCCTGGACTGGAGAATCAATTTTAAACTTCAAAAAGGAGAAGGTCTTTTGAACTGAAAAATGGACATCTTAATTTAGAAAGTGTCCAAATGTGCCATTTGACAATTTAAAAACTTTTTTCCAAAAAATTTTCAGAGAAAATTTATCAACATTGACTTTTTCCACAATAAGTTAATTGTAATGAATCAGTATTTTCCACCAAAAAAAAAAAAACTTATCA